CCCGCGAGTGCTGCTTTCCCCCCCCTCCTCCTGGCAACCCCCGTATCTTCTCCCCTTCCCGTCTCCTTCTCTCTTTCTTGGCCATTTACCAATCTACTTTTTATCAACCTCTGAGTTTCAGCTATATTTATTAGTTATTTACTCATTTTTACCCCGTCTTTCTCCATGGGACAAAAGCAAGCTTACATTATTCTCCTCTCCTTTTTATCCACACAAAAACTCGGTGATGTAGTTTAGGTTGAAAGTATGTGGCTGTTCCAAAATCACCCAGTGATCTGCCACAGCAAGATGAGGATTCGAACCTGGGTTTCCCAGACCCTACTCCGAAGCGCTAATTGCTATACCCCACTGGCTTTCATAGGGTGGCTGCTGTTGAACAGTAGCAAGCAGCTAGGCCTAAGTAAGTCATGCAAGTCCTGTGATATCATGTCACCCAGAGGTTACTGCCAGGCCTATCTTCGCCAATCTCAAAGTGGTACCTGAAGATCTCTCAGGAATACAACTGAACTCCAGATGACAGAGATCTCCACTGTAAGCCCTGGAGAAAATGGCTGTTTTGGAGGGTGGACTATGGCAATATATCCAGCTGAAGAGTCTCCCCTCTGCAAACCCTGCCCTCCTTAGACTCTACCACAAAATCTCCAGGAATTTCCCAACCTGGAGCTGGCAACCTTAGCTAGGCCTGGCCCCAATAAATCATCCTTCAAAGGCTAAAATAGGCCTGGGAAGGGCCCTGCCCCCTCCCCTTGCCTTTTACTGACAGAACCAAGCCTGTAATCTGTGGTGCCTGGCAATGGTCTCTGAGGAAATCCACTGCTTAAAGCGATGGGTGCTCCGTTTATCATTTTGGGGGGTTTCACCCCCAATTTTTTTAATTTTTCTGCAATCGTGGGGCGACCCTGTGAGAATATGGGGGCTGCCAGGAGGAGCTAAAGAAGAAATGGTATAGGGAGGGGGAAACAGAGGTATGGTGTCACCAACAAGCCCTTGGAAGTTCTCCACCACACAACTGGGCCCGCCTCAGCTCAGACGCTGGCACCACACAACTGGGGATGCTGCAGTTCCATATCTGACACTGTGCAACTGGGCCCGCCTCAGCCCTGTGGCTGACACTGTGCAAAGCTTTCCCAGGTAGAAGCTGCCAAAGGAGGGAAGGAAGGAAAGCTGATAAAGGGGTGAGATAGTTAGGTTGGATGGAGGGTGAGGAGAGAAGGGAGTAGAAAAAAGGGAGAGGCTATATGGGCTTTCACGGATGGGGAAAAGGAAAGAATGGGGGAAGGGAAATGAGATGCCCCACACAAATCCTTGTGGGCTCCCTACTTCTGCATGTGTGTGTGCGTGTGTGTATAGAGCCAGCACTGCTTCTTATGCAATCTCACTGAGGGAGCAGCTCTACCCAGGCCAGAAGCATCACAGAGGATGCTGCTTATGATGTGGCAGAGGTCCTTCCCATCAGGACATAAGCTTAGCTTCTGGAATTCACTGCTTTGAGGTGTGACAGTGGCGCCTGGCTTAAAAGGTGACCAGACAAATTCATGGAGGATATGGTTTATCAACAGGTGCCACAATAGTTAAGTAAAGCTTCCATGCTCACAGGTAGTATACTGCTGAATACCAGTCACTGGAGGGCAAACGGTGAGGTATGACTACTGTCCTCATGCCCCACTTGTGGGTTTCCTACAAGAACCTTGCTGTTCACTGTAGGAAATAGGACTGTTCTGATTCAGCAGGCTGCTCCCGGTTTTTTTTTGGGGGGGTTGCATTTACTACTATGGAAGGGGCATCTGCCATATGAGAAACCACACTTGCAAGATTAGGAGGAAGGGTCAAAGGCGTGAGCAATTCATTGGCAGGGGCCACATGTGGGTCACGGATCATTCCCACTTGCAATATAATTTAGGATATGTATGTGATAACGTCTAACTAAAGCTAGCTCAGAAAGGAACAGCATTTGGTAACAAGATGCAAGAAACCATGACTTTAACTATTCTCATCAGGAAGCAAATCTTTTAAGGGAAAAAACCTCTTTGTTGGTCATTGTATTTTTATTGTGTATTTTTTTCCTTCTGCTTTCATTGTACATGCGCTGAAATAATCACAAAACATCAACATTTTCCACATGCAAAATTAAACCAAAAAGAAAAAAAGTCACAACATCCACGACACAAATTTCGGTGTTGGACCCGCCAACTACTCGGTTCACAAAAAATAGATATATAAACCTGTGTATTTACAAACATACAGAAATCAAAGCAATATTTTTCTTGTGACAACTGACTGGTGAATCAGCTTAGAGACAGTTAAGAAAATTGCATTTAACTGATGGAGCTTTCCTCTCTCCTGATTCATTATTATGTGAATAGTGGGAAACACACAGTAATTTAACACCACAATGATCTCTGAACTGTGAAAATTGCATTACTCACTCAGCCAGTTTTAAACAAATAGTTCCCTAAATTCAGAATATTCCAGTGGACCACTGAAGCACGTAGGATTTATGTGTACGGAAATTAAATGTGAAAAACTCTGTACCTTTGGATTCCTTCAAACAGACTTCATTCACAAGGATCTCAGGTAACAACCCTGGACTTGTTCCTAATGAACCAGCTATGCAGGACTTTATTTTCACAAACCAGCATCTACATGGCAAGCTAATATATAGCTCATCCTTTATGGTATGTTTGGACCTGCATGCAAGTGCCCACATGTAAGTGACTTTTCCTTCACATACACTTTTGGAAACAGGCCCTTTTTAGTCCTTACATTTTGGGTGCTCCTACCTGATGTATGCAATACTCTCAGTTGCTGAAGTCACCATTTTGTGTGAATAGGGCAATGAGCATATTTTTCAACTTTGATATGCTTGACTGGAAAACCAGGTTTGCTGCAGGTATCCATTCATATATACCAAAGATTAAAAATACGTGTGATGCTCTATTTACACAAAACGGCAACCAAACATTTGATAAGACTGCACATAACACTTTCCCAGAATGCACTGCAGGAGAACACCCCAAAACATTAATGACTGAACAGCATTACAGTCAGGCGAGCAAAATGACCATTCTAACAATACTTCTTCAAACGGTCTTACACATTCTTTCCATTGAATAATTCAAGTATTCACATAATAGCCTCTTGAAGGTTGTTATCATGCATTACTTATGATGGATTACCTACTAATGAAATACCTGTGCAGTATCCCAGTTCTCATTGTGGTGATCATGTGTCTGGGCGGAGTCCAGGCTAAAAGTTGGCTGTCACATGATCAAATCATCCTTCACATTCTAAAAAATCCTTGCACATAGAAAACTGCCCTATCAGGGAAAAGACCAGGGCTCCCTCCGCCCCTTTGTTTTTGGGAGAGAGGTGCAGGAACTCTCAAGAGGGAAATGAAGTTTTCAATCTGTATACTGAAAACTCATGAAAATATTTTTAAAATAATTTTATCAAAGAGGTTCAGGAACTCTGTTCCGGTGTATTCCCCCAGAAAAAAGTCCTGGAAAAGACTAGGTTAGGACTCATCTCCCTAATGTCTAAGTCTTCTGTGTGGAGGAAATGTTTCCTCTGGGAGAATATTCAATTTTGGATA